TAATGTCGCTTCATCGCCGCCGGTGACCCACTTCTCATTTGCAGGAGCCAAGGAAGCATCAATTCCTTGGCCTAGGAAGTCCTGGCAGACCTTCGAAGGAGGCAAGGATGTTGAAAGCTAGCGGAGGTTGACTGTTCAAGGGTTCTTAAGGGTTCTTGTTCAAGTGGCACAGAGAGAAGGTTCTCCCAAGTGTTGAAGCAGACTATATTGCGTGCTGCCTCAAAAAGGATGCACGGAATCACTACTCCAAGGGCTTCAGAAGATCCTTTGGTGTAAGAATCGCACCCATCTCCAGATTCCATGTTTCCTACCACTTTCTAGAGTTTGGGGAATGATTTCCCCCCTAGGGCTCCAGCTAGCTACTGAGAAGATGGTTATGGTGGGTGCCAGGGTGGTCGTACCAAGGGCTCATCATGTCCAAGCCCAGCTTTTGCTTGGTTGTTGATCTTGAAACAATTTGAAACATACTGTTCAATAGACATTGACATTGAGAGGCGGGAGTCCTACTATAGTACAGAATTGGTGTACATGCGTTGGCTTCTCTGCTCACCTTCGAGTCTATGAACTAGTGAGTGTGACTCCTTGAGCCCTTTGAATGTGTTTCATTGATACCATAGGGCCAACTACGGCCAAAAAAAAACAGCCCATACCGATGTGTTTCCAAAACCCTTCCAGTCTGACATCACTCAGGCGATGGGGTACCGACGGGTACCGACCACGACTGCCGGGTCGATCCACCAGGCGATGGCTTTCCCTGGGCCGGCGCCAGTGATTCCACCACGGTGCCGGTGCCCAGCGTGGTCGACGGTCGGGTCGAGCGGTGTCGACACGCGGTCGAAGACCGTAGGCGCAAAGGGTGTCGAAACATCAAGGCGGTTGGAGCTTGAAATGAACACTAGCCGCTAAAGTTTGTTTATATCACTATATTATATTTAGCATATTATATATATATATATATGTAGAAGTTGATGGATTTGTGACTAGTCTGGGAGAACTCACTTGTTCTTGTTGTGCAGATGTTCAGGTTGACAGCTATATGTGAGCATGCGGAATGTAATGTTGCACTGTGTATATGTATCTACATATATATATATATATTGGGCACTATCCCTTTTGCCACATACTCTATTCTTGGAGACTCATCCAAAACAAACCAAGACCTTTGCTGCACCGGTTGCTGTGCACTAACCAAAAGCATATAAAAGCATACCATATGTGCTTAATTGAGCCACGTGTTTTGTGGATCGTCTCAATGTGCTGTTCACTTCGCTCTTTTTTTCGGGACAGATCTGTCCTCACTTGTTCCTGACTCCGTCGATTCATGATGATGGAACAACCACACCGGTGCTCCAAACGAAAAGAGATACCAAACGATTTAAGGTTACACGGGTTTGCCTGGCTGACCTTTTTCACTCTCCTGCAGAGCTTGCTCTGGAGCCAGCGTGCCTGCGTCGCTTCTACCGGGCACGCTGCAGGCAGACAGCTCCTCGAGTGTGGGTGGCCAGGCACGTCCTCCCGTTGGAACATCCGCACCCCGAAAGACGTCGCAGACCCAAGTGAAGCTGTTGTTGGGGATGTAATAGATGCGTCCTTGGGTGCACGACCCCCCTAAAAAGAAGACCGGTGATTGCAGGATCTAAGTCTTGTACACTAGAATTCCTGCGGACTATAGGTTAGCAAAAGCATGATGCATTATGTTCATAAAGACACCATAGAGAACACGTTGTTCCATTGGAATATCCATAGGAAACATGGTTCTGAAAGTTCATGATTTGCACATCCAAAACTATATACACTGTCTGGAACAATGATGGAAGTGGAAAGCCACCTGTTTGTAGTGGGAAATGGTCTTCCAAGGGGCCATTCTCCACTTCCATGTTAGTTCCAGGGGGTGTATATTTTGGAAATGGATGACCTCCCCAAGGTCAATGGTCAGCAGTTGGCCCCTTATTTGATTTCAGGAACAGATCGGAACCTTGGCCGCTCTTCGGTCCAGTGATATGGTAGGGGAACTAGCTCAGTTCACCCACTGGGTAGTTCATGTCCCGACGGCGAACGGTGGAACTGCGGAAACACACCATTGGTTCAGAACCTGACATTCCCTATAGGGATCCTGTCGTACCTTCTCAGAAGGTGATTGGAGGCACTGTGATGTAGGTTTCTTTAGCAACCTCAAAACTGGTGGGGATCACGATCTTCACCTGTTCTGCATCCGGACACCTCCTCTCCCTACCCACCCAACTCCTCACCCTTCTCCTCTCCCTACTGCTCTCCATCTTAAGTCCCACCGTCACCCAAGGTCTTCCAGCGCACCAGCCTTTTTCTCCCCAGCCGTTTCCGCCAGGTGAATTCCGCGCGGGAGGCCGAGCGCCAGAAGAACCTGGCCATCCTCGTGGGCGAGTTGAGCCCCGGATCCTCAGCGGGGGTGGAGTCCGAGGCGGTGGAGTCACGTGAGAAGATCGGAGGTGCCAGGGGGGCCCTGGGGGCCCTGGAGCTCCAAATGATACCACGAGACGCGGTGTAGTTCCGGCATGGAAGAAACCCATAAACCTAACAACCTAAGTGGTTGAAAAGCCTCCTGTGCTGGAGAAGATCCCACACCTGGAGGGAAGTGGACGTCTTTGGGACGGAAAGACTTACAAGCATGCTGTTGGAGGTTCTCTAAAGGGTGTGGCCAGTTACAACTCCTTAGCGCTCTTAGAGACGCCGAAGATGAAGAAGAAAACACACGTCATTCTTGCGACATCACTAGGTTGGATAGCCTTGACACCCCTCCCTTCCGCACCTCCCGGCTCGGCTCCACACCGAGGCTTCAGCACGGAGATGGCCACCCAAGCCTTGGAGTCGCTCAGCGCACTAAGCACACGCAAGCCGCACCGGGGGGGGAATCCGCGGCGTTCGCCGAGGGCGATCGGGAATCTGCTCCAACATGACCTGTCTGGGAATCATGACCTGTCTGGGCCGGGACTGGAAAAAAGGCCAATGGTCAAATTGAATGTATGGAAATCGTCCGGAAAAAGTGAAGTGTTTGGTTATACTCCGGCATTTTTGGAGTGTACATCACCTAGTACGTCACCTTGGCAATGTCGGATGGTTATTGCACAAGCACAGCACCTGCTTGAATGACTACCCAACCCATCCCAAAGGCAGGATCATCCCGGATCAACACGGTTTTAAGATCCTTGTGGGTCAAGGAGGGGACTTCTATAGCCCAGACACACCATGTATGGCATATACCCCCTGGAACCACCCCAACTGATCGGTGCAGTCCCGGTCTGGGTACGATTCTAGGGCCTTCAAAGGTCCAAGAACTGTAGACGACCGTCTTACGCCTCGTTTGGTTTTGAAACGACGGATCTGACGACTCGAGCTCGTTGACGGATCTGCGTGGGCCCCCTGTTTCGTGTACGGCCCGCGACGAGCCTTTCACTGAGGCGTTGCTCCACGGTGGAGGCGGCTGTGGAGTGGATTTGCAATTCGGGGAATGCACCCTGAGGCCGGTTGGAGAGGAGTGCTGAAGCGCGCACGGTGCGACCACTGGAGACCATGGGAGACCTGTCAACAAGGACCGGTCTGAAGCCATGTCTAAAACGTGGCTGGCAAGGAGCAGGTGGGAGTAGCACAAGGGCCCCCATGGACGCAGCAAAGTCATTCATTGGATTGAGTCGGTTTCTGATGTTTTCTCAATGTCCCGAGTCGTGTTCCCAGACCATCCCCTGCCAAAGCCCTGTATTTCCCTGTATTTTGGAGGGGTTTTGAATGGTAAGACTGGAAGGATAATGTTTTGCAACTGGAGCCCAGCACGTATGGGCCTTCATGCGCTTCATGTTCATGCCGCAGCTTCACATAGATTGGCTTGTTGGGATCTTTTTTATCGATCCCACACAAAGGGGGTGCACAAAACTCTGTATGCAGCGACCCTTGGTCCAACTCATGTTCAATTACTGTAAGCTAATATGTTGCGGAACTATAGACATGGATTCCTTGTGTTTCTTTTGGATCTCCAGACTCGACTCGCAGCCGATGGGCGAGTCGCGAGTGTATCCGCTCCCAAAGCAGCGCAGTAGGTACATGTCGAGGATAGACCCGAGGACGCAGAACTGCGAAGGATTCGTTTCAAGCAGACCTGGCCCATAGTGCCAGACACTTTCATGCATGTCCAAGCATACGGGGAAGCTGTATGCTCAGCGGCATACGGACAGTCTTGGAAGGACAGGGCGTACGGTCGTGTATTGCCACTGGATCACATGAAGCTGCAAGCAAAATGCCAAAGTCGATAAGGCCCATCATCTCGCCATCGCAGAGTATATCATCTCTGAGGCGCCCTGCCTGCCAGCGGCGCTTCTCTCCGGCGGCGCTTCGGACTGCCGACATGACCAAAACGGCCGAACTGGATCAGCGATCTCGTGAGGTGCGGGTTCCATGGCTTCAGGTGCTGAAGGGTAATGTAGAATCTGTAATGTTTGATGTTTAAGGGTGATGTTCAATTTCCCCTGTGGCATATGGGGTGCATTCCCATTCTGGGGGAGTGTTTTGTATGGCTTTTTCCAGTTCCCCAAGGCAAGGCGATTCGGCCTTCAGCTCAAGTCAAGGTTAAAGCGCAGGGCCTCCCTGTCAGCTAATTCATGGTTTTGCATGGTTTTGTATATATACTAAGAACTTCTATGGCAAGTGAAACCTGCAAATGGGGCTGCCAAGTTCACTGATTTGAAAGGCGGTTTGATTGAATATAGGAAATACCATGAAATAACCCATACCATAAAAATGTGTGTCTCTTCAACTCTTCCCAGCATCATGACTGTGACCACACTATGATCCATCAGCGCAGAAAACTGCCACCGACGACCCATTGGCCCGACACGATCTAAGATTGCTTCTTCATGACCCATCCCATCGGCCCATCACGTCCTGACCAAAAAGCTTTAGCTAAGTCTTAAGACGCGTGTCAGCTCTTCAACCCCATCCGCCACGTCGGTTCGCCCATCCTTTCGTCCTTGGGGGCTCAAAGGGATCGATCGGCTTGTCGCTCCGGGATCCCGCTGGCCAGGCCGGAGGGGTGGGGGGAAGTGATCGGACAGGTCGCCCGCTTCGGGGTCGGACCGAGTTCGACCCGTTGGGTTTGCTGGGAGTTCGACAGATCCAACGAACCCTGATGCAAGACCACGGTCAAATATGTGCCTACACTGGGATGGTTTGGGAGGTCCATGTAGGCATGTATTAGTGTAATTTAATTAGTTTACTTATGATTATGTATTCCATGGAGTGTTTGGGATATATACTCCTAATGGACCCCAGCTGCAACCTTCAACAGTTTGCGACCCAGAGCTGCTGGAGCTGAGAGTGAACTCGGCGAGAAACATTCATTTGGTCCGTAGGATGCCTATAGGTAATCCTTGGAAAGTGACCAGTGTGACAAGTGCCCTTGTAGTTCACATCATGGTGTTGGTCCACGTTGCCTTTGTGGAATGTTCGGGACGAGGATCCGCAATACCACGATCCAAAAACTGATTTGAGCTGCAAGGGTTCATGTACTTACTAGAGGCTTTGGTGGCACGGGATCGCGTCGGTGCCTCGAGCGCAACGCCTGGACTCTGGGACCAATGAACAGATTCCTTTTAAAGGGATATCAAGCTACCATGCTTTGCTGGGGTACTGCCTGTGACTCACAGCATCTCTCCCCAACTCCCATGGGAGCGAAACAACCTTTCAAACATGGTGCACCTGATGTTTTTAAAGCTAGTGCAAGGCATTCCATGATACCATCTCAATCTTCAGCTGGGTGGATTGTCATTGTTTCAACTTGCTTCACGAAAGTCGGATTTCCAAAGCCTCACAATCTAAGCTTGCTTCAAGAGACACCCCCTCGCTTCCTCCAGGAGCCCGCGCGGTGCCCCAACGCCGCGGTGCCCGCGCCATGGACTATGACGACCGGAAGCTGTTCGTGGCCAAAATGCCCGAGGAGTGACCGCGTCGCTTTTGCGGATCGGAGCGGCGACGTCAAGGATCCCCATGTCCAGTTGCGTTTGTCTAGGTTCTTGAACACGCGATGCCTATACAATATGGGGGGTGAAGCGAGGACGGCCCACATGGATTCCGTTGTTTTTTTCCAGTACCTTTCTTTAACCATATTGCGTTAATGATGGGGGTTGAACTTGATTGCAAGACAGTTATACACAGAACCGTTTGGAAGCCACTCTATTTTTTTTCGGAAGAACGTGTCATCAGAAGAACCCGTTCATTGACCCGTTCATCGTGGGCCTTGGCTCAAGACCTTTTATGCTTCCCGACCATGGAGGTTGCAACATATTCTGGGAAGAGAGTAGCTGCACTTGATGATGATGATGATGATGATGAGTTGCAGTACATGGTGGAAAGTGGTGAAACTGTTCGGGACCTAAAACGACGTCTTTCAGATCAGGTGCTTAAGGTTTCAGCAAAGACTCATTGTCAGTGGCGAAGCTGACGAATTGCAGGATGACATGCCTTTGACACCACTGCCAAGTGTACAGCTGGTATTCCCGCCCATTTGTGCTCATGATGAGACTATGGAGGAAGAATTAATCCAGTACTGCCAGGAGAATCAGGCGAGTCGTGTCGAACGATTGCTTCAAAAAACCACAGCACCCAAGCGGAAGGGCTTTGCTCCTTGCCGCCGACGCAGGCCACTTGGAAGTTGTCCGGTTGTTGCTCGAGGCTGGAACTGACAAAGATGCAGCAATGAGACATGGGGCAACAGCATTGCTTTATGCAACCCACAACGGCCACTTGGAAGTTGTGCGATTGTTGCTCGAGGCTAGAGCTGACAAAGATGCAGTAGACACACAGATAGGTGAGCAAACGGCTTTGATTCTTGCAGCCGAGAACGGCCACTTGAAAGTTGTGTGATTGTTGCTTGAGGCTGGAGCTGACAAAGATGTAGCCATGACAGATGGGTCAACAGCTTTGATTTATGCGCCCCACAGCAGCCACTTGGAAGTTGTGCGATTGTTGCTTGAGGCTGGAGCTGACAAAGATGCAGCCATCACAAACTATGGAGCAACGGCTTTGCATGTGGCAGCTGCAGAGGGACACTTGGAAGTTGTGCGACTGCTGCTCGAGGCTGGAGCTGACAGAGTTGCAGCCACGACAGGTGCTGAAACGGCTTCGTCTATTGCTGCTCAGCATGGCCACTGGGCCGTTGTGCACGCCCTTGCTGCTTCAAGACCGAGCTGACAAAGATGCAGCGAAGAGAAAAGGGGCTCAGTCTGAGCATTCGTAGTGGGAACATGACTCGAGTCGGCTGAAATAGTTTGTGTTTGTGTTGTTTTATTGCAGGACAGAGATGGGCAGTGGACATATTTTCTACTTGTAGTACCGTTGTCAAAGAGATGCTCCAGGTATTTCTATAATATATGTATTATATAGGTACTCTTGTTGCTTTTGCAATGATAGCGATCTTCGCTGCCACTGGAATAGCACGGAATATTTTGGACATTTGATCAACCTATAGAGAGAGCAGCCGGAAGCAGGGGTCGGCCTTAGCGATTGGTGGGCCAGACACCTGTACGTGCGGCAGCGCCGAACTCCGGAGCTCCAGGGCTATGCAGGGCGATGCAGCCGTACCGTGTTGAACGTGTTTGGGATACACGGAGTAGAAGAGATCCACATGGAACCTGAAAGTGGACCTTTAATTTTGGAACACTCTTTTTTTTCCCCCACCACCCAGTGGTTTTCCGGTTCCATGTGGGTCTCTTTTGGGGCGCAGGTGTCAAGGGTCTAAGTCTTGCCCGGACAACGGCCGCTCGAAGCACCGAATGGCAAGGACATCCGAGAAGAAGAAGTAAAGATAGTCTTCAACACCTATGGTCCTGTCCAGGAGGCATCTTGGCGATAGCTGGAATCAGTCGAACATGGCTCAAAAGGATCCAGGGAGAACCACCCTTTGCATGGATTAATTTGGTCAATGTCAGACGTCCAACATGTTCATGTTTTGAGTCATACCCACAGGGTTGCATGGACCAGTCTGACCGTGGATGTTGCATTGTGGTTGAGATGATTAGTCTTGATTAATTCGGACTTTCAAGCACCCAGTCAGGCCCGGGCTTAGGTTTCTTTGAGAAGCAAAGAGTGTGACGAATGGTGAGTTCAGAATGGTGATTCGAGAGAGCTTGCCCTCACATGCTGAACAAGCAGGACATCTCCGTGCAGAAAGCACGGAACGTCCAGGCTGTTCCATCGATGTCCATCGGTTCCTCCGACGGCTTTGATTCAATGCTTCTGTGCTTCAGGTGGTCATGCTTGGCGCAGAGAGATCAAGGCCGGTGACGTCATTCAGTTTTGGGGCCCAGAGTTGAAGTGAGCCATAGGTAGCATGTTCTGCGATGATCGTAGGTAGCTTGTACAAGAGAGTTGCACGATTGGACGTGGATAGAAACTTCCAGAAGTCGCCAAAACTCACAATCTCAGCCCACTTGTCAAACGGCAATGGCCAGCAAAACATAGCAAAACAAGGCAAAACAGATCTCTTTTCTTTCTGAATCCATTACCCCGCCGAAGACTAACATGGACCCTGAAAACCAGTCTTCCCATTCTCAGGGTCCATGTTACTTTTTGTTGAGTGTACCTTGCAAGTTAGAAGATGCCCGGAACCCGGAACCCGCCACTGGGCCGTGCCATGCCAAGCCAAGCGTCCGTTCCCACAACATTCCGTGCGGGAAGCGTCCGACCTCACCACCTGGCAGTCAGGGATCAGGGCTGCCTCATAGACTGCCCGTCTCATCGGTGGATTGACATCATGAGACTTCGAAAAGACTATGACCGAACCAAACCCTTCGCAATGCTCCCAAGGAAAAAAAGGAAACCACGTGACCAACTGATCTTCAACAACGCCATCAGCGGAGAACACCTCAGCCAAGCGCCGTTCGCTGATTCTCAGGGGGAGTTCCGCAGGTGGAGCCCCGCAGGGTCGTCCTCGCTCCGCCGGTTCTATCCGCGATCCGGCGACCCGTTGGTCTGCCCAGATCCGTCGTGGGAGCTTCGGGCATCGTCGGGGCGATCTCTGGTGGAGGCCTGGCCAGAGATGTGGCTTCGTGATCTACGAGACCTCCGAGGTGCGCAAACTCGGCCGTGCCCCGTATTTTGTACGGCCATGCCCTAGAGGTGCGTCCGACTCTTTGGGAGGGCGCCCCCCAACAGTGGAGCGAAAGAGGGGCGAGGGGGTGGATTTGAGGTTTTTCTAGGGATCCACATAACTGAAAAGCTAGGAATGGAGCCTCCTGGCGCCATCAAAGTGTCTCCAAGCCACCCTCAAAAAGAGGGTAGAAGTGGATCTATAGGCTGTCAGCTTGAGACTCTCACGTTGTTTGGGACAGAAATCCCCGAAAACGTTTCAGGAGTGGCATGATGTGACGTTTGTGGATTTAAACATGTGGATATGACAAGACCAGCACCACGGAATCCGGCTGTCCAAGCAGGAGTCCATGTCTTCTTGCCCCTCTCCACAGCTGAAAAACGCGGTGTCATGTCCATGTCTACCACCCCGGTCCAGGAGGTCCAGGTAGGTGAAGGATGGTCCAGGTAGGTGAAGGATGGTCCAGGTAGGTGAAGGATGGTCCAGGTAGGTGAAGGATGGTCCAGGTAGGTCCAGGTATTGTTCGCATTCCTTCACCGCGCTGCTGTCATCGGCCACGGCAACCAGATCGATCCTCAAGAATTCGAGGCAGCCAGATCGGCGGTGCAAGTCTTAGATAACGTTTACAAGTTGGGGCGGCCCAGCGGGGACTGGTTGGTGGGGAGGACCGGTCTTCTCAGTGGGGAGGACATTGATTTACGACCAATCCTCCCAGTGAGGTGGATTTACAAGTTGGGGAGGAGTTTGGCCCTGGAGATTGGTGAAATCATGTCAAGAAACCGTGGCTGTGGTGCCATGAGCCACCTATACTGATGGTCTTCATGGGTCTTCTGATGTGAAAACACCTCTTCTGGGCACGTCCGGAGATCTGAACTGCCACGAAGACTGCGGGTCCTGCAAGCTTGAGATGTACTGCAGACCAAGTGGCCAATGGATGTCCAGTGTTGGTCCAGTGTGTCATATTGGAAGTTTGCAAGTTTGGGCCCAGGGGAGACCCGAGAGTCCCTGAATCCTCGGAAAAGAACTTCATGACCGGCTTGAGTTGTTTATGCCGATGTATGCCCTTCCGGGACTTTTTGCCAATGAAGATGGCGAGAGTTAGAACATGTTATAGAATGTTTCGAAGGGTTGGTAAGGCCAGCACAAGATCGCAAGAGTTTGAACAAATTAAATGCAGGGCTGGTTGAAGGATCAATCGAACCTTGCAAAAAGTGTCGAAAGGATGAATATATCTATGGCAGGATTTCCTGGTGGTACGGCAACCGCAGGTTGTGCTAAGTGGCGGCCAGTGACAGGTCGGAAATTTGATGCAACTGCAGTGTTGCATGTATGTTCCTGGAGTGTCAAGTCATGTGTCCATTGCTTTTGCTTTTGGTGCAAGGTCTTCTAAATCTGTTTCCGGCAAAACTTCCCGCACAAAGTGGGCAAGATCTTCTAAATCCCAGACACTCCATGAGCATGAGACTGCCATATTTACCTACATTCGGGATGGTTTTGGGCAATACATGGAGTGTCTGGGAATGGTTCTCCCGGCTTCGTGCTTCGGCAGCTCCTATGTCCTATGGTCTTCCGTCCGTCACACCGAGGTTCCGGGAGGGTGCGCCGGAGCCCATCCACGTGAGCGTCGCGAGACCGCGGGGAGGCGACGCGTCGGGTCAACGCCTGGGGATAAACGCCATGCATTTGGTGGTTTTGGACGGGATAAAAGATAGAAGACCCATGGATCATATTGAACCTTGGCTTGCTGTTCCAAGGGTCCAGGGCATGCTTTTCTTAATGGCACAATTTTTTCAAGAAGTGTTTTTTTCATGTCGTTTGAAAGGTGCGCTATCGTTGTGTCAGTGTTGCAGTGTGAGTCTCGCAGCCTCGAATTGGTGAGGATGATGATCCAGTTGAGGCCCACCTTCCATTCCGCCTCTGTGTGGAGGAAAAAGAGGGGACATCTTTGTTCGATCATCGAGCCTTATTTGGCTGGTGCAAGTGGATTCCAAAACGCCTCACGAGACGAAAGAAAGGAACGATTCTATATATATATATATTAGTCAATGCAGGATCTCCGGTCGGCCGGGTGCGAAGGGTCGTCGCGTCGCGTCGAGTCTGCACGGCTCGGGGGTCAGTTCTGTCCACAGCCGTCATCGTCAGAAAGCTTCGTTCACACATGAGAGGCAAGGGCGGCGGCAAAGACTTTGGTGGTGGCGGTGGTGGTGGCTATGGCAAGGGATATGACTCAAGCCAGGCTTGTGGCTGTCAGCCTTGATGCTTTGTGAGCATACTGCTTGGACTGAATAGTGTGCAAGCATCCATCCTTTCCATGGTGTACGTACATAAGATCACGGCTGGCCGTTTTTTTGAAGCACTATTAATATAATATACATTAATTAATATGTATTAATATACTATTATTATCTTTATTCATTGTACTAGACTATCTCAGTGGTTCTATCAATCCATGCGTGCTACTGCTCACGTATGCCGTTATAGAATTGTTTTGACCTCTTTCTTTCCCTTCCGCCATCACCAACATTTGCCTTTTTGCTTTGACGGCCAGGGCTACCACTCTAGCAACCCCTATGGGGGTTACGACCAGGGCTACAATGGTCGTAGCGCTTATGATGGTGGATACCACAGCGGAGCGAGTGGAGGATGGGGGGGGCGACAGCTACGGAAATGGCCACTGGGTCACGAACTGGTTGAGGTCTGATGGGGAGGGTGGATGGGTGCGAAACGTTGAGTAGAGTATGGGAATAGATGAGATGATGGAAATGATATGCAGAGTCTGCAGAGTGATTTTGTGTGATATTGATATGGTGGTGACGGGGCGCTTGAACCATCAATCAAGAGTAGCTAAGATCAGTTAATAAAACGCTCCCACACCAGGATATTCTTGTTTCTGGTAGGAACGTTCCTCTCCTGAAAAAACAAAATCAAAGAGATAATATCTTCCTGGGCAAGATGGGAACACTCCAAATGCAACTGAGTGGTACCCTGGACATAAGAACGAGTGTAAACACTCCTTAATTTCCAGTAAAAGTGACTGCTTGTACGCATCTGTACAGACTGATGTCCCACACTCTTGTTTCATCTCCTGCCTTCACTCGCTTGCAGCGGCACTGGCCCAGGCAAAGGTGGCGGAGGTGGTGGAGGAGGTGGAAAGGGAGAGCCTGGCACGAAACTCTATGTCGGGAATCTTCCAGGCCGGACATTGTGCTTTTTGCCTTCCACTCATATTTGATATGAAACAGTGAACCCAGCAAAGGCAGTCATCTACAGGCCCTCAGTCAGACTAGTGCAGACCCTGAGAATTCACATGTGGAAGACCATTTTCCTCTACAGCCCAGTTGTTTTGGGGGGGGTCCATGTTAATTAATCTGCCGGATGGGTAAAAGACTCAAACATGTTCTTCCCCAAGGTTTGGACGTGTTGCAGGACCTCACTTCTCAACTAAGCAGTATGTGCGGTTGATGTTTATCCGCCCGATGACGAAAGACCGTTGCGGCCCTTAGATTGGGGATTCAGTCGCTCAAGTTCAGCTAGTGGTGAGTGGTTAGAGCGGATCTACACCATGGGGACTTGAAGGACAATCGGAATCATGCGAACTTTGCACGAAGTCCTTCTTTTGCGATATAGGTGATATCCAGCGGGAAGCGCTGGACATGGTCTTCAAGACCTATGGTAGTGTCACCGACATCCACATCATGACTGGAAAGCCGCTTGCTGAGCACATAGACGACTTCCAGAGCAGTGGCCGGATGGTCAACACATGTCAGGACGGTACTTTGGTGCATATTAGATATTTTCATATATTTTCAGGTTGCTAACATGGTTAATTATCCGGATTGTAGATCAGCGGACTCCCAAGCTTACTGTATAAGAAAAGATAAGAAAAGGATTGGTGTGGTTCAAAGTTCTGATTTACAAGGAGATTCAGGCTTCTATTGGCCATCTACTGGATCCTGGCATTATCCTGCTCGTTTGACAAGACCCGCCGGGAACAACGAATCGTTCAGGATATCTTCAACTACAAGAAGCTATTCCAACGCAATAATTGAAGACATACAGTCACCCGGAAACCATTTCAGGATCCCCAAAAATATTCCCTCTTCTTTTTGGAGAGTTCGTCTCATAAGTTCATGTTCTTTGTGTGTTGCTTCTGTCTGACCGCAAAAAATCCAGCAGACATCACTCAGTCCTTTTGGCACATGGACCAGCCGCGGAACTGGCACAAGCCTCCGAGCCTCCGAGCCAGAACCTTTCCGCTGCTCGTGGAGAGCTTCGTGTCGAGCTGAGGTCCAAGAGTGGCCAGGCCTGTGCCTTTGTGCGATTTAGCACCCAAGCTCCTTGGAGAGAAAGGACGCTCGGCCTGGTTCCCCACCGGTCGCTGCCCTGCCTATAGGCTTAGGTCGTTTCGTTCTTTTCGGATGCGATTCGTGACGGTTTCGAGTTACGGCTGGCCCTCTTCTGTCCCTTTTTGTTATTGTTTTCCTTTCGAGACGGGACGGGACGGGACGTTGCGGAGACAAGGTCCATGTCATGCCACACTGATCTTCAACCCTCACTGGTTCTGACCATGAACGTCACTGAGGTAGAGGCCAACAACTGCATTGCTGTCCGTTGCCTCAGGAGGGGTTGGTCATGGTTGGTCCGGTCCGTTCAGATTCAGAGACCAACCATGCGGACAACGCTATGGCGGCTTTTTCTAAAGGCTTTACTTTTTGTGTCTTGTGAAAGTCCGAAAAACGTTGCCTTCATGATCCTTCTTTGTTTTGCCGGGGTCAGCATCTTTCGGCCCCAAGACATGGCTTGCTCATGCTTGAGAGCATTGAGACTATACATGCACTGTAATTCATCAGCCCACGCCATGTTGAAAGGACCCTTTTACAACAAACCCACTCAGAATCACGACAGGATTTGGTCGTGTGAGGTGCGCTTTTTGACTCAAATCGATGACTGCCAATCTGGATCTGGATGATCCAAAAGGGATCACGTAGACTGATGTTTACCGTAGACTGTAGACTCAATATGCATATATAATCATTATATAATCATATATACCCAGACGCTCCAAACAGCCCTTGGGTCCCTCAAAACCATAGGGTAATCATGGGTAATCAAAAAAACATTGGATTGTAAAACCTCTTCTCGCTTAGGGGGGGTGAAATCTCCGTGTCTACAGCTCGGGTCGCTAGCAACACCCAGCGCCAAAGCTCGAGCCAACCCTGAAAACCGAGGGTCTATCCGACCGAGGCAATGGCGCAAGGCTATGAGATACGGCCTGGAGAAGGTCACCGAGAGACACAGACTGCACCACCGAGTCGTTTCGGGTGACGTGTCGTTCGGACCGGGTGTAGTCGAATAGTGCGGGGAACGGGCCATGTGATGATTGTTGCAATGCTTGTGTGTATGTGCCTTAGATGGGTTGCGGTTGCAACGCCTGTTTCATATCATATATACATCAGATTGTATTAAACTATGTGTTTCCTTGCTTGGGTCCACTCTTGGATATAGCCAGCATCATGTAGCACACGGACCCCTGCGTGGTCATGAGCCCCATTGAATCGGTCTTGGTCCGTAACAGACGAGCCGACGGTGGACGATATGGTGCACCTGCCATGCGGCACGGGCTCCAGGTTGAATCCCTTGAAAGTTCAAACAGACTGCTGGCAACGAAAACGCCAAGGTCTCAGGTGTTTGATCCTTGTCAAGTAGAGCCTGCTTAAAGGTTACTCTAGAGATCTAGCGGCCAAAGAATACATACATCATGACTCCCCCACACAAGCTGGTCAGATATAGTCAGATCGCTTAGAGATTGTCGTTTGTTCTTATTAACAGGCTCCTGATTATGTGGACGGTTCCAGGCGTTTCCTTTCCTTTCCTACAAAGAGATCCTCGCATTTCCTCGCCACCAATACCGGCAGGTCACATTATCGTGAAACTTGCGGACGGCCCTGATGGAAAGGCCGGGCGATGTTCTTTTTTTTTTAACCCTCGTTCGGGCTTTCAAGCCGACGGCGCAAAACTAGCGGAAGGCGGAGTCCAGGAACGAACGACTCCGGACCCTTTTTGTCCACTCCATTGGTTTTGGGGATCCAAACAGCCACGGAAAAGGCGCAGCACAGGGTCACAGAGGACAGGGTCACCTGGGAAGGACAGACCATGAAAAGAAGTCAGGTGAAGGACAACCAATCTGTGCAATGAATTGCCTGACAGGGTTCATAAACAAGCATGAAGACAGGACAAGCATGAAGACAGACTTGTTCTGTTCTGATTCTTTGTGTTGAGAGTGGAAACTACATGGGTGTTCGGGCGCTCAGGTGCGAATCTTTATCGATGCCTTGTCTCTTTGTTCTTCTAGCAGCCCTGTGGATGAGTCAATGAGGCAGCAGACCAAGTAGTGACTACATAATGTTCGCAGAAGATCAGCGTTGCAGCAGGGATCATCGTTGTTATCCCCATCCATGGCTGGTTGTTCTCGGTGGAAGAGCAGCACAGATGTCGGACAGGCTTCCTTTTCTACAAAGGGACAGCCAGTCCCAACAGCCCAAGAACATTCAGACTATGAATTACCTTCTAAACTGAATGTTGAGACAGGCTGTTGGGACCTGCTTAATAAGTCAATTATATACCTTCTAAATAGAAGGTGACCAATGAGTGTTTTTGGGTTGTAGACAGGCTTGTCATGGAGTCCACTTGGCGGTGACGTCGACGTCATCAATTCTCACCGTCACATGGAAATATTTAGTGACGATTGGTTTCACGTTCCAGAGCTACCAGTAGCGATTCTTCAAGCTGCCAGGGCGACGGGTTGTTGAGCACACAGCGGGGGGGCACTGTCGAGCAATTTAGCAATGAATCATGCAGATTCATGGACTGCAATAGTGGTGAATGGCTCATGGACTGCAATATGGACTGCAAATGACTAGTAACAAATGTCAGTGATTCTAATAGTCGTTATACAACAGATTCATATTTGTAGATTGCAATTGTTGTCAGCAGATGCTTGGATGGCAGTAGTTGTTGATAAATTCTTGGACCAATTCCAATAGTTGTCAATGTCTTCAGGGGGTTGTATATAGTAGTTATCAATCAAGCTTCATGGATTGCAATAGTTGTGTCAATGTATTCATGCACTACGATAGCTGTCAATCAATTCATGGATTCCAATAGGTGACTATAGATGCGTGGATTGGAGTACTTATAACTTGTCAATTGATTTATGGATTGCACTAGTGTTCAACAGATTCTGACTGCTAATAGTTGTCCATATATAGATTCTTGCATTGCATTGTAATAGTAGTCAATGGATTTTTGGATTGCAGTAGATGTTGATATAGATTTATGGATCGGAATAGATTTGTAGATGTCAACAGTCGTCAATAGACGCAATGACCAGAATACTAGATGCATGCACGGCTGAATTGGCTCAGGGTGTTTTAACAGTTATCATGTATTTGTTTTTTTTGCTTCGTGGCTTGCAAGAGTTTTAGGTAGCTACATGGACTAGTTTGTTTGTTTTGTGGATAGCGACAGTGTTTGCTTGTTCCTGTCATGATTCCACATGCAACAGGTAGCCCACTGCATCTATGATGAAATATGAATGGTATGTTGTTGTTGATCAATTACATTGATGGCTTGCAATAGGTCTAATTCGTTTCTTGGAGTAACCAGCAGTGGAGATCATGAAAGATCCATCCAGCTTCGGCGAACGGTGCCGAAGATCCTCCACGACACATGGGTGTGTATGTTTTTTTTGTTTAATAGGAAGACCTTCTGGCCCTGGCTGGGTAGAAGGGTCTATATTCCGAACCAAACCGGGGTCGAGACGCCTGGGAGGTCTCCCTATTGGTCGTTGCACCACCTCACTGCTGCCCTGCCCAGGGTTCCAAGGGGCGGCCTGGCCCTTACTGACGCGGCCCATGAGCGCTCAGCGCCGCGTGCGCTCCGTGAGCGCCCCAGGGCAGTGGGAGTCATATGGAAGAGATCCCTTACGTCTCGACCCCCCCCTGCGTTCGGTGCGGAATTCCGACCCAGTCTACCCCAGGGCGAGGATTTCGGGGGGGTTTGCCTTCTCTAAAGAATACGACACCCAGCTGCCGATGCCGATGCCTTCACTTCATGGGACCCGGACCGGCCCAATAGCCGACTCATGGCCCGGCAGGCACATCACATCACCGACCCTTCAGACCTTTCGCTACCGAGAACGTCTCGCTTTGCCAAGAGCCGTTTTCGTCACGTCTCGATGTGCATCCACCGCCACGTCTCGATACGTATAGATAATATATGTTCTTGAGGTAAGTATGTTGTGTACCAGGACCCTCCTGTCGGGGTGTCCTGGCTGGACTGCCCCACACTACCTATAGGCTTCCATTGGGCACCCCTTAGAGGGTCCTGGTACAATTCACTCTATTTAACAAATTTGTGGATTCCAGTTGTGCTCAAGAGCCTTGCCTCCTGCCCCCAGCAGCCGTCCCACCGCCGGTTTTTGCCCGTCTGAGGCGACCGGAGAAGTCGCGCCTGAAAAGATTGGCAACTGACCAGGGACATTTGATGTATATAGAAGCCGTAGATCTATTCATTGGATTAGTTTACGGGACAATCAACAGGAAACCAATGGTTCTTGACTCCCCAGACTATGGGTGTCCGATGTTCCCTGAAACCAATTCAGGAATCTTTGGCATGGTAGGCATGGGGCCCAGGAGTGGTAAGCTGGTAGAGAGGCTGGACCGCTTGGATATAGGATGAACTAGTTGTTATTGCTTGGTGGACATACAATGGGCGTTTTTCTTGTTCATATGCAGGCATTCGTTACACGAGCCCAGGCTCTGGCGCCATTCATCGAACGGGAATATCAAGGTATTGTCAATGTGGGTGTGTATTTCAACAGGAAGAGCCCCTGGTCCTGGCTGGGTAGACTGGTCTATTTTCCGAACCAAACAAACGGGGGGGTCGAGACGCCTGGGAGGTCTAAAAAAACACACCCATGTGTGTTTGGCCTCAAAATCATTCTGTTGTCTTCATGTGTTTGTTTCTATTTCACTGCTCCAAGGATCTGAGTCAGTTTGGCCATGTTCAAGGCCAAACTCAGTCTTAGTCTTCTTGCTCCACGGTTCTGGGAGATCCACATGCAACAGTTGCGAAATCGGAGCCGAATCCCAGCATAGGCTCAAGCAGCTTCTTTGACTCAACACAGTATAGGAACATATAGGAACTCAACGATCAGATTGCTGCTTGTTGGGAAATGTTCTGGGGGCAAGTTGGGCAGAGATGACTCACCAGTGTTCAGTGACGATGTTTATGAGTGGTTCACACTCACACGTCCAAGAACATTTTCTCGTCGTAAGTGTCTGAGATGTGTCTCCTTTAAAGTCTCAACAATCGGAGAAAAAGGTATGGGAAAGCTCGTGCATTTGGTCGATCTTCTTTTCGCGGCCAGAGCAAGTCGAGTCGCTTCGGTGAGTGGACGGTGAAGTGCCGGTTACAGTAAGTGACCGTCTGACGGTCGTCACCTCGCCAGGGTCGTTCATCACCTCCCGGACACACCGTTTGACTCCGATGAAATATGAAAAAGACCTGGTGAAGGTGAATGTAGACTTCAACGTGCTAAACATAGACCGTTCACATTCACGGAGTTTCGCTCGGTTCGGCTCAGCTGCACAGCGAGCGGGTCATCTCGGCGCAGCATGCGACGTCTCTCCGCGCTCCTGGCAGCTTGGACAGCCGGCCGGTGCCTGCTGGTGCGCTGCCGGGGCGGCAGCCCGGGCCGTTCGTGCCGTTCGCAATTCCGCTGGTCTTAGGGGGTGGGGCAAAAGAGGCAAAACGACGACGACCTACAGCATTAAGGATGTTGAAGCAGGATTGCTAGAAGGCTTGAAGATACTTGATGGTTTTGGTGTGTTATGGTTGTGCAGTTGCTATGCTGTGGTGTTGCACATTGAGATGGGCTGTCCTCTTACCCTCACGACACCATTTGTGAGGGTGACCCCCTTGTGAACATGATGGATCTCATCTCGGAAAACACGGGTTGATGTTCCGCATCGTCGTTTCCCATCTCAGCAATCCACGAAGTTGATCCTGCAAGGGTCTGAGCAACCACCCTTGGTATGTCTAGAGTCTAGACTACATCACGGTGCCCTTTGGGCATGCCAGAATTTTGCTACGTAGCTAGCACAAAACATGAGGAATTTGTGAAGCAAAACATCTGCACATGACATAACATCATACTTTCGGACGGCCATTGCTTGGCCATGCCGAATTGTTTGTTCTTGCATGGCCACAGTCTTGGACGATTCTCCATGCCCAAACACTCCACGTAGTATACACGGCTCAATGTTCATACATTGACCCCTGAAACGTCCTTCATCATATTTCATACATGTCCCCTCCAATGGATAGGTCTCTTCGTTCGCCAATTGAGTCTGTTTCTTGGCAGGTGCCGCTGCTGGGCGACCCTCCGGCCCTCTCTGGAGAACTGGAGCGGATTGCGGGGTGCGACAGCCCAGCTTGGGACAACGGGGACACAGGCACTGAGGCCTGCTAAGGAGCTGCCATCCTCAGAACCCAAATGAAATGACATGAACAAATGCAAGAAGTTGTTGACTTTTGTGCTTGGTGTGTTCGTGTTGTTTTCTTTCACTTATCGACGTTTCGACTTTTGGTATTGGGATGCCAGGCATTTTCTGGGAGCTGGTGAGTATTTCCGTGGTGTTCAACCGTTCAACCTTTTTGATTTTAAACACATTTATCAAAAACTACTGTACTAGGTTTTGCCTTTTTGGATTCAGATACCAGGCGCTTTTCGAGTCCTTTTCAAGTGTTCAACTTGGAGTCCGCCCCAAGGGCGGGGATTTCGGCCCGGTCACCCCACCTTGTTCGCCCCTTACGACGCGTCGTCTGCCCGCGCGAGTTGTCACATCCAAACAAGCCAATTCGGCCAGATGTCACTTGGGCAGTTGGAGGATGTTTGTTCGATGTATACCAATCGATCCCCTAAAAGGCCCACCATGGCGGAACATTGGGGAAGAAGACCCGTAATCACAGGCCCTGCCCGTACCGACCGAATGCCAAGGCCCAGCCCGGAGGAGGATCTAGCGCTCCTCCGGGGCTTCTTGTCCTCTGCGGAGCTACACCACGCCCTGGCCGCGGGCGAGGACCGGAGTCCGGCCGACGTGACGGAGGTGGGTGTCCGTTTCGGTTCCGGACATGGATGTGTGGGAGGTTTCTCTATGTTTTTGCTATAAAGTCATGGTGACTTGTCTGAAGCCTTTTTTTCAATTAGCCTGCTCTTGCCACATGGGGGACACTTGATCATTTAACCTGGGTTCGGACGACTTCAACTCCTGGTTCTGGATGTTTCTTTCTTGGTGCAAGTGGAGGCCATCGGCCAGAAAAATGTTGGAATCCAATAATTACATTACATGCACCCTCAGACTGATCAAATGCTAGGGTGATCAAAAACGATTCGATCTCTCCATGTGACTTTTTCAGCCACTTGCAGTCGGAGCTGTTTGTTACAAGTCAATGGGAGTGATGGTAGGCTTGTTTGGTATCCAATCTGATTTACCGTAGATTATTTTTTATGTTGTTGGTGCAGACCGCAGGAGTCCGGGAGTCCGAAGGATTCAATTCCGCTTTGAATCAAAAGGGATGTCAAACAGAATGAGTTTGCCATGCGATCCGTCCTGGTAGAACTGGGGATATTGGAAATTGAATGAACATTGCCTCCACTTCGGGGCACTTGCGGTGCGGGCCAAATCTGACCGAAGTCTCCTTGACGTTTCTCTCCTTGCGCTTCACTCATGGGAGAACCAACATGCACCCACACCAACACAGCTTATAACATTTGCTCATTGGAAGTGTGAACAGCATATATATACAATACTCCCGCCTCCAGCCTCTCCAGAGTCCAGTATAATTGAACCAATATAGGCGAAGCCGTTGGCAATAATTTGAAGGTTGATTTGTGCAAAGTGGATGGTGTTTTTCAATTGCAGCGACCTAATCCTGAATAGTTCGAGGCGCCATTATTTGTTTTGTGGGAGGATAGGCAGCAGGAAAACACCCCGTTTCTTACTACAACCCAGAGCAAGTAGATAAGTTTTAAAACACCTACTGTATGTCTTAGATTCTTGAGGGTATGTTAATGTTGGTCAATTTTGTTGCCTGCTCCTGAGTGTTCAAAGCCCAAATGCCACAGACCACCGTGGCCGGATCTCCGGCGTCTCGGCGAGCAAGAACGCTTCAGCAGCTTTTTGAAGCCACGCAACATGGCACCAGGTTCACGTTGGACCAAACAGATCCAAACAGAATCTAGCACAAGGTAGGCTTCTTTTCAGATCCTTTAAGCTACATGTATTTATCTCTTCAAACTCCCTGGTCTCACCCACTCCCCCCCGTCCTCGGCCCGTTTCGGGGTCCTCAGCGATGCGCCGACCGCGCTCACAGGACCCCAAGGCCTGGGCCATCGATGACCGCGACGACGAGCTGGGTTACGCCCGACTCCGCCAGAGCACGTCGTCGTTGGACGCGTCGCGATGTCGAAGTGGTCGTTGAAGGAAAGCGGTTGATGGATGTCTATGGTCTATCACTATGCCTGTTAGTGATGATCTCTCACATAGGGAGGCCACATGAACAAATTCAACCTTTGCTGGAGGCAAAAAACATCCTGCACCAGGAGTTCCCCTATAGTCTTCCTCTTGCTACCAAGGATGTATGGAGGGTGTTTCCCATTTTTGGACATGCAGATGACTTGGTTCACTAGTCCCTTTCGCACTGCAAAGTGCATGTGCAATACGTTCTAGTCTTTGGTCACTATCCCAGTCACATGCTTTCTGCTTTCTGCAAGAGATGTGATGGTTTCTGCCTCCAGCAGTTTGAGCTGAGGACAGCTTCGTCCGCCTTTTCTTTCCTAAGTTTGACGGAGCATTCAATGATATTCATGGTTATTTCCCATAAGGAATCGAAAACGAACCAAGGAATCACGTGTTCTTTTAACGCTCAAACGCTCGTGAGTTCGAACGGACGTGGATAAATCACCTGGATTCCGTCGATCGGCGTCGCTGGCTTTCGCTTGGAATCGGAATTCTCCCAGATTCGGATCGGCCTTCATCCGTAGATCGGCACGCAGAGCACCAATCAAAAAAACAAAGAAAAGCGGAAGATCATGAATCCTACGGCTCCAACCATATCCTGAGGTTGGGTGCTTAGACCAACCCACCCCAACCCACCCCAAACCCAACCACCGAAACGAACCCAAACCGCGAACGTTGAACGCTTTAGAGAGACCCCCCCCCTAAGGCACTCTCCATCCAATGACCCACTCAGCACGCTTCGTCGTCCCTGAGGCCCACGAGGTCTGGCGGATGGAGGCAGATTTGCGGATGGGGGTCACGGGGGAGGAGACGAAAAGGAGCCATCGGGAGCTCTTATATATACATTGTTATACATGTTTATATATTTTCCAAAGAATCCATTGCCACCTTCTGAGAAGGTGACTGGAGACTGTTTATGCAGGCTGCGAGGGCCCAGTCATACCTTCTGA